AAGTAAACATGAGTAAGCCTTGTACCAGATAATGATAAATAAATGTGTCACAAAGTTCTAGACTGAAAATCAATGAGGGATTAGAACATAATTACTCACTGAGCAATGTCATCGGTGGGTGTTCCCCAATTCCCACGACCAGCCCCATCACGTTTAAACTCACTTCTGATATTACAAATATTATCAATAACAGAAAGAAAACAGGAAGATTCCAATGGTGAAAACACATGAATATAAGGTGAATTAAATAACAAGGCTGAAGACTACTAACCCATGTCCTGTACCACTGCGGCGATCAAATACCCTCCGAGGGCGTTCCCCTTCTGCATCGTCCCCATTGTTAAAACCACCACGACGCCCACCACGGAAGGAACCACGAGGCCCACCGTAGCCGCCACGTCTTTCAGAAGGTTTCCCTGTATCTCCCTCTTCTGGTGCTCTGTACCCACCATAAACACCATTAGTGTTCTCATTGCTGATTGGATCTCGAGGAAATCCACCACCACCTCCTCCACGTCCACGGCCAAACCCACGTCCACCACCACGGCCCCCTCCACGGCCAGTTTCATACTTCCCTTCCCTCACTGCCCATGATAAAACCGTTGTGTGATACACATATTATATACAACATAAAATGTATAACGTAACTTGAGAGAAGACCAGAAAATCATACCAGCACCTTGACCAACCATCTTTCATTGACAAGAAAATTACATCAACATTATACATTGAAAATCTTATAAGTACTAAACTTCTGAATGTCTCTAATCATTACAGAATAACATTATATATATTTAAATTTCATCAACATTATATATCTAGTTCAAATATGAAAGCTGACACATCTAGAGCATGAAGACGCCTTTAGATTTATTAGATTTCATTTCACCAGTTCCACTGATTCAATCTCATTTGGTTCATGAAAAGTTACTGGAATAAAAAAAAGCAGAAAACAAAACTCTGATAGTGCATACGTATCATTCAGTTCCAAAAATAGCTATCAAATTGTATAACCCAAAAAACCAAACAGTAAGAATAGACACCATCACACACGGAGAAAACTTCACACCAAATCCGATCAAATATACTCAAAAGCAATACCAAATAGCAATAACTTATCCAAATAACATCTTCCAACTTCAACACAAAACATAATGAATAAACAGCAAGTCATAAAGATTTTCTCGACGGTACCCAACCAAGAAATGAAACTCAGACAACAGATACAATGATGTCCAAATTTTCATTTTCATTTCCATTTCGAGAAAACCCAACAGGTATTTCAGCGGACAAAACCAAGAAATGAACTGTAGAAGCAAAGAAATGAATCGAAAACTCACCAGCTTGAGTAGGAGGAAGTGGCTTGGAAGGAAGCTTAGCGGGCTGAGCAGGTTGGGCCTGCTGGGGCTTCTTGGGCTGAGGCGTAGGCAGCTTCTGCCGCTGAGCAGCGAGAAGTTGACTTGGGTCCTCGTTGTCGTCATCACCCAAGAGATCGAAAGGGTTCGCGGTTGCCATTTCTGCAGCTCCGAAAAGTCCGATTCAATACCTTAGAAATACACCGACTTTGAAAAGCAACCACGAAACCCTTCACAGCTTATTCGACGCCATGAATCAGAGATTGGTGGGAGTTGGGTTTAGAGTACGTTTGGGGGCAGAGAATATTGCAGAGAAAGTTTTGTGAAAGTGTTGCTATTGTGGCTACTGAAAACCCTAACCAATGCGGCACAGAGAAATATAAGAGTGACAAAACCTGATCTTAAAAACCCTAATGGGGAATGTTAGGCTGCGGCCGGGTGTATTATAAGCCGCTTGTTGAATTTGGACATATTGATATGAGGCAAATGAAGAAAGGGCCCAATGGCGATGACCAGCGTCCACTTTCAACATTTGATGATGGCCGCTTCAATCCAACATAAGGATAAAATTGTCATTTACGCCTTAATCTGGTTTAATCTGGAATATTTTGTTAATTTTCTCATATTTCTTTTATATCAACTAGAGGGGATTTGCGTTTAGAGCTGTTGGAATTTTTGTGAGTATTTCAAAATATAAATTATTATTAAATTTACATTTGTTATTATTACTATATTTATTGAATTGAAATTTTAAATATGTGTTAAATGATGGTTTTAATTCTTTTAAAGTTGAGATTTTAAAACCTTTTACTTTTGGTATAGCTGGACGTTTTCTATTGATATGAATATTAATACGTTTTGGCAGTTTTGTTTTAGATTTTAATGTCTTGAATTTGGAGAAAACATGTAGGCTAAATGTAATTGGCTGTGATTTGATTGTGTATTAATTTGATATATTTATATTTGGTTTTAAACCATGTTAATGTTGGCAACTTATTGCTTTAACTGTGAGAATATTTTATGCAGCTTAATTGCTTGTTTAATAACCAAACCCCCACTTGGAAAGCTCCTATATATATAAACCATTCAAGCTATGCGTTGGAGAGAGAGAGAAATCAAATTGGTGACACCTTTCTTCATTTTTTCCCCTCCACATTCTTAAGTTTTGTGTTTCAATTTGTTTTTATTTTATTAAGGGAAATATTCGAGTGGTTCATCCTATCCAAATATTGCGAGTGTAGGCTTATGAGGGTCATAGGTTGTTGAATCCTAGAGGGTAGGCATAACTTTTTTTTGAAATCTTCTAATGCTGACGGCAAACTAGTTTTAGATAGGTTCTAGTCTATCACGTCATGTATTTGCTATACAATAGAATTCTTGTAATCTGACATATATATATATATATATATATTTATCAATACACACACGATCTCAGTATTTGAGGCTTTACCATAACTATTTGTAACTCATCATATACTTCAGTGATGATTTTGGCTTGAGGAACCTAACTTCAATGACAACAATAGAACACAATATTGACAAGAAATATTGAGTTTTTTGTCGAGTAGATAATTCAAGAGTGAACACATATGCACTTCGAAATTTCATGATACATGTATTTGTACAATGTGGCTAGCATATAAACTAGCGAGACTTGAAAAAAATAATAAAACAAGAAGCAAAGAATCATTTATAGCGATAAATTGAAATATAGAAAAACTTAGAAGAAGATGCGCTAAAAATAGAATAAATTAGAAGAAGACATAAAGATTATCTTTATGGTATTGTTGGGTAATGATGATATCTTTTGGAGAATCAAATGGAAATGGAAGTTAGAATCATACAGTGTTTAGTCAACAAAGTCCAAGAAAACCCATATCCCATTAAGAAAAAAACAAAGGTTATATTATTGTAAATCCATGTTTTACATGGACAAGTGAATGTGACCATAATACCCAAACACATTAAAAATTAAGAGCAGCACACAAATCAAAGCCCAGCCCACTCAAACTTTTTATAAAAAAGAAAAACAGTTGAAGAAATATAAGCAGCCAACCCTTTTGGCTGTGCATAGGCACAGCCGATAGTCCCCACCTCCTCCTTTCCTTGGCAGCTCTGGCGATAACTTCTCTCTTTGGGTTGTTGACAATAGCTTCTCTCTTGGCAGCATCTTATCCTATCCAGGCAACAAGTATTCTTCTCATTCTCCCCTTTTTAATTATCTTCTCTTTGGGCTGACAATAACTTCTCTCTTGGCAACATCTTATCCTATCTAGCCAACATGTATACATCGTAATTTTGATTTTAATTTGAAATTGAGTATTCTATGGTTTTATTCTATGGTCAAGATTTTTTTTGTTAAATTTTTATTTATGTATAGAGATGCATGTTTGAGGATAAGATTCATTACGTCCCCTCAACTAGGTATATCTTTTTTATTTTTATGAATGAAATTCACTCGTACTGTCGAGTTTTTAAGGTAAACTTCGCCTACTTGACTTTTAAATCTTGGATCCGCCGCTAGTAATATGAAAGAAAGAACATCAAGCTCCATTTTAATACACAATTATGTACGTAGCTATTTTCTGCATTTTATTTTTGTTGAATATGATAGTCTAAATTACAACAGAAAGAGGTTTCTCACATACACACTATCAAGGTGCTATGATAATTTGAATATAAGATCCCTGGTCTGGAAGTTAATGTTGTTTTCAATTGGACTAGACCCCGTTAATGATGAGACATTGTCAATGGTAAAAACAAATTGGAATTTTCTTTAAACTTGTGTTTTTTGGTTGGAGCCCACCACACGTAAGATACTAACTTGTCACTCCTTAAAATCTCTTCCACCATTCGGTAGTACCACTAAACAAAAAATTATATTTAAAAAACAAAAAAAGTAATTCCATTAAGAAAAAGGGCAAAATACTAACATGAAAAAGACATCCAAAAGAAAGACCCCTTGTAAAACAACATATACATATAACCAAAAAAAACCAATTAATTTCACATCCTGAAAACCTAGCTCGCTAAAAACAAAAGAGAATTCATGGTATCACTGCATCAAGTGGTACAAGAAGACTATGTGAGAGATCAAAACTCTCTACCAACTCGGGGATAGGAAACTTCCACCATAACACTTCATGCCAATTAAACTTCCACCATTACACTTCATGGAAGTCCAATGCGTCTACCATTCACCCCATAACCTCGAAGCACCATTTAACAGTAGATTCAACAAATTCAAATTGTTACACCCCTCAACACAAATATCTGATAGATGCCCATCTCATCAACCCTACCAAGAAAACAAAAGCCTAACTCAAAAACGCGGTTAGGATTAGAAGAGGAAAGGCCTGAATAATTCTTCCCTAGAATTGAAATGTTGCTTCAATCGTTATACAAGATGCTCTCGAATTGAATTGAATTGAATTGTTGAAAAAGTTCAACGGAGATTACCATAGTGGTTGTGGCGCTCCCCATCCTAAATGTAACCAAAAAAAATTGAATTGTTGAAAAACACACTTCATAAAATTTCTTGGAACACCTGTCTACCTTTTTGCACCCAACAATAAAGTTTAAAAATGAACCTTTTTATTCAAGCACTCCTACAAAGGAAAAGAACAATTGATATTCAATTTCACTATTCGACCAACAATTGATATTTATATATACAGATTCAGAAGTTCCCCTTATTCCTAGAAAAAAGAAAAAGAAAAGTAGAATTGGTAAGGCGATGTTTCAATTTTTACCAAAGCAATTCTTAGTGCTGCCTTTAATACTAGTAGTAATTGTAGTCCCTCTCTACATCTCATTCAATTTTAGAGAATCCAAACCAGAAGAAATCAGTTCTTCTCAGTCTGAAGAAACCCCAATGGCCACCAACGCTTTTGGTGTGAAGGTTGAAAAAAATCCCGCTCAATCCAAACTCACTGAGCTTGGAGTCACAACATGGCCCAAGTATGTTGCTCTTCACCTTCCCTTTCTCTCATCTTTACTCTAAGTATATAGGGTTTGAATTGATGTATATTTTGATGGCAACAAATCTTTGTTTCTATTATATGATTTTCGTTATTTACCTAGACTTGAAAAATGATGCCTTTAGAGGTTTTCCCTGAGGATTGGGTGATGGGTATGTTTGGTTTTACTGGTGAGAAAATCGTTTGTGGTTTTCCGGGATGTTTGTAGAAAATCAGACCCTTCAGTTACTTGGTAAAGCCATGGGTCATAAAAAGAGTCTATGAAGATAATAGATCCAGAGATGGATGGTGGAAGATGCACATTTGAGACTACCCTATCAAATTATTTGATCGGTTTCTCAGGAGCATAGAGAGTAGGAGTGAAATTACACTTCTCACAGTCTATGTAATCTCGTTAATGCTTCATTTTCGTGTTGTTTGTGGACAAGAAGCATGATATATCATATCCTAGCTGTTTGCCTGACAAAGTCAGGGTATAATCAATTCCAAATATAATTCAATAGAGAAGAGTGCAGAGGAAAGTTTGATAAACAGAGGGAAAGTTGAGAGAGAATTTTGTTGTTTAGAACTGATTTATTTCATTCACAAATGAACCAGTAACAATGCAAGGCTTTTATACATAGCTAACTAAAACTAAAAAAGACTAGCAATTGATACCTAAGCATTGACTAGTCCTGAATTAGAGGCTTTCCTTTACCGAGGCTCCTCATGAATCTATGTATGGATGAGCAGCTGATTTGGCAGCACCTTAGTTTCCTTATTTACTAGTACTGTAAGCAGCTCTAGTTTTGTCAGTGATCTTGTTAAGGCTTTGTTTTTATGTTGTTTGTGGACAAGAAGCATGGTAGATCAATCCTAGCAATAGATCCTTTTTTTAAAAATAGAAATCCTTGCAATAGATCCTTAAAGTGGTGGGTTATACTCTTTTCCCCGAGAAAGTCATAGATCAAATAAGAAAATATAGGTTGATCGTGAGTTTCTCTAAGAAGCTAATGAGTGCCAAGATTCTCTTTTCTTGATGAGGTACATGGCATGACTGCAAGTATGTGGATTTGGTTAGTGCTCTGAGGACAGCCTTCTTCATTGTGTCTCAACTCTTGTTCCTCAATCTGGAGGACTCTGTACACGCTTTTTCTTCTTTCTTGTTATTCACTTGTTTAAAATGCATGGATAGTTAGTTGTACTGGTGTACTGTGTTTTTCTTGAATAAAACTTCTTATTCATCACGTTTATTTCTTAAACAGAAAAAAAGTGTGGGAATTCACGAATTGACGTGACTTATTATGGAAAAAGAATAGGAGCCTGGTACCTGCAAAATTTATATGGATGTTCAGATAGATGTTGATTAGAGGAGATTTTCTTGTTTATGTTGTAGACCCTGTTATTCCTTTGCAATGATCTATATTGTGAATTCATTAACAGGTGGTCATGTGGTCCAAGCAAATTCCCATGGTCATTCACTGCCACAGAGACTATGTATCTGCTGGAGGGCAAAGTGATTGTTCAAGTTGATGGGCATGAAGGATCTTTCACAATTGGGGCTGGTGATTTGGCTGTGTTCCCAAAAGACATGAAGGTCACTTGGGATGTGATTGAAGCTGTAAACAAGCATTATAGCTTGGAAAAGTAAAGGGTCTTGCTGCTGGTTAAGCGTGCTATCTATCAACCAGATTGTACTATTATTTTTACCTTGGACGACCGAATATTAGTAATATATGTCGTATTTGTACGTGTTTTGCACCTTGCGACGCTGAATGCATGGATACTCTAGTGTTACTGTAGGGTACTAAATTAAAATTAACCCTTTAATGAAAAACTCATGAAATTATACGAGTTTTGCTTGGATACTCTCTACCTTCCCTTTCTCTCACCTTTACTTTAAATTTATAGGGTTTAACGTATATTTTGACGGCAACAAATCTTTGTTTCTAATATCTCATTTTCAATATCCACCAATGCATGAAAATGATGCCTTTAGTTATACTGCTGAGAAAATTGTTTATGATTTTCAGGGATGGTTATATAGAATCAGACCCTTCAGTTACTTGGTAGGTTTTATCAGTTCATTGATTTGGTTTGCTGCCCTTTTCTCACTCAGATCATCGTCGCTAAGAACTTGAAGCAATGGCTATAAATAATAACAATTTTACTTGTTAGGCCTTTTTCCATACACAGTCAAAGATTAACGCCCTCAAGATTGGCTGTGTGTCCCAAAAGGCATGAATATATGCCGTATTCGTATGTGTTATGTACCGTGATTCGATCTTATGAAGCTAAAGGCAAAGAGTAGCTTGGACAAATAGTCTTTTAAAGACAAACGAACAGTTGTTATGTTTCATTGAGTTTCTGCATCCCAGAATGTCTTGAAGCTCTGCACAAATCTGTCCATTTTGGAGCACATAACTGCACTTCAAATATCCCTATGATGGCAGACATTTGTGGATGTTATGTTTTCCTAATTAGATCTGTGCACTAGATACTAAGTCATATAAGGTTTAATAAGAGTTTAATTAAGTTATGCCTGAGGCCCAAAACCTTGTGAAATAAGGAAGGGTTTTGGAGCCTAATTAAGGAGTCCTATTTTGTTTCCTTTTTGTGTGAACTAATTCAAGTGGGCTTGAAAGATAAGTCAAGTCGGCCTCGGTGATGAGTAGAGACGACTTGACCTAGCCGTATATAAGCTAAAGGCCCTGCTCTCATCAGATACGTTCTCTAAACCTATTCTCATCATAAAAAGAGAGCTGAAACAGATTCTGAGAGAGAGCAGAAGTCTTGAGCCGTTGCTGCGTTGCTGTGCTTGCTAGGATTACTACTGCTGTGGATTGGATGAGTTCAGAGGCTGTATACTCAAGGAAGATGGCTCCAAGTATGTCTTCCATGTCTTTATACGTATTACATGTTTGTGTGAAAGATCTAGATTATGTATTAAAGAAATCTAACAGTTGGTATCATAGCTTCAGGTTGTTCACACATATCTGTAATCGTTGTTCAAGCATGCCTAATCTATTTACATATTTGGTTATGCTATATGAATTTTGGTTATGTTTAATTTTTGGAAATTGATTGAACATGTTTTCTGAAATATTGAGAATATTAAAGAATCTGGAAAAAGCATGTTTTGATTCGGTTTTCATATTTTCAAAACTTTAAACACGTTTTTGACCTAGCAGATCACCTTAAAACCCTAAAAATGCCTATATATCACAGCTTGGCTGTGAGTTGTGTTAATTAGGTCATTCCCTATTCAGAAAGGTATTTTGCGTCAAAAACGGACACTAAGAACCCCTAAAGTACTGTTCACGGCAGAAATACTATTCACGGCAGAAACACTTTTCACTGCAATTTTAGGGTTTTTCCTTGTTGAACTATGTTTTGTTTGGTTATTTTTCTGAGCCAGATATATGTTTGTTTTTGTTCTGAGAATCAACAAATTTTTCATAACAAAATCAAACCTTAATACTCAAACCCTAAAGAAGATAACCGGAAATTGCATTATACATGAATTGCTTGGTAAGATTCTTCAACAAATAGAATCTATCTAGTAATTTATTTGTAATGGCACAAGATAACAAGTAATTTGTGTAAGCTATAAGTAATCTCTTGCCACAAAGGTGTGATACTTAATTAAGGACGCTTGCATGCATTATTTGTTAGTTTTGTGAATGAAGTTAAACTGTTTTCTCTTAACAAACTGAGAATCGGTTTCTAGGAAAGTAATATGTAATATGCTTTTGTTTGCAAATCCTTACAGTTATGAACACTCCCTCGATCAATTTCTCGCGAAATTGAAACACTCACTAGTCAAACCTTCAAAGATGGAAGTTTTGATTTTTAAGGATATTCTCGGAATGAATGAGATCAATTATGATTTCACTCATGTTTTGTTCGTTTATGTATCCTGTAGAACAACTCCAAAAGTTTGGGAAAAAGGAGAAGCATTTGGCTTTTGATAGGTGTCACTCGTGTCAACTTGTCACAAATGGTATTCTAGTAAAGAATATAGTATAGCTAATTAAGAAGCGGCACGAAGATGAGCTGGAGCGGAAAAGGGTTAAGGCGCAGCGAAATCGTCGACCATATGGAGGACCCATAAGAATATACACGGCTACAAAGGACAGTCTCAAAAGTCTTAGGATCACTATGAAGCTTGGTGTATGCGCTTATGGGAGAGGAAGAAATATCAATAAGCTACTTCGATACAAGAATCTCCTAGTGCAATCTGTGAAACCTGCGCCCCAACCTGAATCACAGCTTGAGTTTTTTGATGCCACCTCTAATAGGGAGATAGCGATACTTGACCCATTCCCTGCTAAGGAGAACAACACTTTCATGGCGGCGGCGGCATGTTGTGACAAGGAGGACTAGATAGCTGCCTGTTGTTTTTAATTGAATTTTATTGGAGTAGTTGTTTTAAGTTGGATTCAGGATCTATGTTAGAGTTGTATGATGTAGTTTTCCAGTACCTTAAATAAAGAGAAACTTAATTTCTGTTTCAAGATTATTAAGACTTGGTTTTATTTTGGATTTAATTAAAATGGTGTTATCTCAGAATTCAAGGACAATAAAAGGAGGATTATATTGTCTCAATTAAAAACAAAGATGGTGAAGTTTTAAATAGCTAAATCTAGTGAGAAAAAGATTAGAAGTGAAGGAACATCCACTAGGTTATGGCATAGACGTTTAGGGCACATTTCAAAAGAAAGAATGAAAATTCTAGTTAAGGAACAAATCTTGCCATCACTGACTTTTGGTGATGACGAAATTTGTATTGAATGTGTTAAAGGAAAGCTTACTAAGACTAAGAAGAAATGTGCAACTCGTAGTAATGATCTCTTAGAAATCATCCACACAGTTTTTTGTGGACCGTTCCCTCATCGAACAATTGATGGAAATTGTTATTTCATCACTTTTATAGATGATCACTCCCGTTTTTGGTTATCTGTATCTCATAGCAGAAAAGTCTCAAGCCTTTGAAATGTTTAAAGTTTTTCCAAACTGAAGTAGAAAGGCAGCTTGAGAAAAAGATAAAGATTGTGAGGTCGGATAGAAGGGGTGAATATTAAGGACGTTTTGATGAAGGAGGACGACTTGCTGGACCTTTTGCAAGGTATTTACAAGAAAAATGGAATAGTTGCTCAGTACACAACGCCAAGAATTCCGCAACAGAATGGCGTTGCTAAGAGAAGAAATCGAACTTTGAAGGACATGGTTCTTAGCGAGATTTCTAAATCTGATTTGCCTACGTTTTTTGAGAGAGGCGATCAAAACAACAAACTATAGAGTGCCTTGTAACTCCGTACCTAAGACACTTTTTCGAAATTTGGACTACCAGAAAGCCTAGCCTAAGACATCTTCATGTATAGGGTTGCAAGATTGAAACTAGAATCTATAACCCTCAAGAGAAGAAGGTTGATCCTAAAACGATTAGCTGTCATTTTATAGGTTATCTCGCAAGGTCAAAGGGTTTTAGATTTTATTATCCAAATTATGGTACCCGAATTGTTGAGACTGATTGTACAAGTTTTAAAAGGCAATAGAGAGTCAGAATGCAGACAAATGGAGGGAAGCGATGTTGAATGAACTTGAAAGCATGAAGAATAATCAAGTATGAGAATTAGTTGAACCTCATAAAGAGCCAAAAAAATTGGTAGGCTCGAAATGGGTATTTAAGACAAAGAAGGATAAAGATGGAAGAATCGAAAGATTCAAGGCTAGATTGATAGCCAAAGGATTTACCCAAAGGGAGGGAATTGACTACACTGAGACGTTTTCTCCAGTTTCCACAAAGATTCTTTGCGCATTATGACCCACTTTTGCATCAAATGGATGTCAAAACTGCCTTCCTGAATGGTGAACTCGAAGAAGAAAATTATATGAGGCAACCTGAAGGGTTTGCAAAGGAGGGAAAAGAGCATATGGTTTGCAAACTTGGTAAGGCAATTTATGGACTGAAGCAAGCAAGCAGGAGGTGGTATTTCAAATTTCACCAAACTATTTCATCTTATGGTTTTGAAGAGAACATAGTTGACCAGTGCATTTATTTGAAGAAGTGTGGGAGTCGATTTATTTTTCTAGTGTTGTATGTCGACGACATACTCTTGGCTACAAATGACCACAATTTACTAAAGGACACCAAGGAGCTACTTTCAAATAATTTTGAGATGAAGGATTTGGGAGAAGCTGCTTTTGTGTTGGGCATTGAGATTCAGAGAGACCGAGCTCGAGGCCTTCTGGGACTATCACAGAAAACATACATTGAAAGGGTACTCAAGCGTTTTGACATG